TAACAATTTCGATGAGTTCTTTGGGTTCTTCGTAAATAGTCGCTGTGATAAGAATAATTGGTTACTAACATGCCTAGAGGATGCAAGCAAAAAAGTCATAAAACTATTAACCCAGAGACTTGAACCCCAAGACCTCTATATAATTGAAAATAGTGTACGGTTTAACCCTCGCGAGATTACAACTTCAACCATAATCGAAAAGATGAAACATGATATATTCAAAAATGGTAATTATAATATTGTTAATGGTAAATTAATATTATACGAGGATATGAATATGAGCAAGCGACACCACTTTGTGAATGAGATTAATTGGAATGAAAAAACATCATTTGAATTAGTCGATGGGGATTTTTATTTTAAGAATCTGAGATTAAAATATAAGGAACGAGCCGAGAGAAAGGGGAACCCCAGTGTTATAACAATGATCAATCGGTTACAGCAAGAGAATAAAAGGGTACCAAGTGGACGTGTTAATACTATTGTTAAATATTTACCAGGTTCACGAGCAGTTGGTGAGAGAATGATACTATCAGAAGAGTATGATCCCGAAAAGGATAAAATTGACACTATATATTATATCAAAAAATTCAATTCATTTATCAGGTCATATCTAAATATTGAGGAAAAAGAAGCATGGGGTCTCGTTAATAGATGGTATAATGAAGTTGTTAAATCTTCACAGATCCAGCAAGCACAGGATACCGATAACGAAGAAAGTGATTCCACTGATGAATCATCAAGAGAACCTAATAAACGATACAAATGAACAAAGATCAAACATGATAGTATAGAAACTACTTCTAATCATAGAATAACTGATTTTTTTATTCAAAGATAATTTATTTATTTTTAATAAATAACTAATTTGATACAAGTCTATTGTAAAGATCAAGTCTCCTCTTTTCTGAATAATTATAAAAACTACCATACAATTGTTTTCGTATAATATCTATATCAGATCCCGATATTTCTGAAAAAGCCTCTAGAATAAATTGAATTTTTAATTTTCTTATTATGATTAACCTTCTTACCAGATCAAAATCAAACTTTATACTTTTTTTTTCACTTTTTTAACCAAATGTTTAAAAATCGATGAAGACTTTGCATAGTCTAAAAACTTTCTAATTAGATCAAAGCTAAAATCATCTGATTGTATCCCGTCAAATCCATTATCATTAAAAACCGAAACGATATCTCTCGGTGATATTTTCATAAATATTTTTCTAGCAAATTTACTGTAGACCAGTTTCCCATCATCATCTTTGATCACTTTAGCGAAAGCTTTTAGTAATAACTTCCCACGTCCGTCGAAACAAGAAGATGCGTAAGTTTCAAATAAGTTGGTACTTGAAAGAAATGTCAAAGTAACATTAACATCATTTTTAAATCCTTCTTCTTCCATTTTATCAAAAAATATTCTTCGTATTATATCACTATGAATACCGATCGTGATTTCTGTGTACAGACAAAATCTCAATTCATCTTTCCAAGGTTGTGGGATGAGCCTTAAGAATATTTTATCATCATTGCGATTAGTGATTATGTTTGCCAACCACTTGACCATTTTATATTGATAAGAACTAATATCATATTCTAACATTTGGGTGGTATACTCAAAAAAATA